AAAAGGAAAACTGGGGACATGTTCCATCTCTTTCTACTGCACAGCTGTGTACACAAGAATTAATTGGCATAAAAGCTTCTCACTCTCCCTAGTTAGCTCTCAGTGGCATTCGTGGAAGGGAGAGGGAAGAAAACAGATCTGAATCCTGTAACAATCCTTCTCCTGTATTTCATATTGTTACGAAAAAGAGGGGTCATGCCCTAAAACTTTTCCTTGGCGCTTTTCTGGAATAGCCTTAATCCAGATGCACTATATCCTTGATAGAAAAAGCCTTGTTGCAATCAAATTGCTAGTTCATGTCTTTCTCTCTTCAAAAAATAAGTTCCAGGAAATTGGCTTCACATTGCTAGAGAGGATGTGAGTAAGCACTGTTTTTTAAAAAAAGCTATTTCAAAAAAATCGGGGCGGGAGAGGACATAAAATGGCAAGGAACTGTTGCAGTTGGCAGTGATTTGACTTTCACTCATATGTACTGAATTCTTTCTTATTCTTTGGTTAGTTACCTTGTTTCTGGAGTTCTGGAAACGACGGCAGGCTGAATTAGAATATGAATGGGACACGGTTGAGTTTTTAGAACAAGAAGAACAAATACGTCCAGAGTATGAGGCAAAATGCCATCATGTAGTAGTGAATGAGATTACACAGGTAATTGTATTTTCAGTTTTAAACATTTTAATTAAAACACTCAAAGAATTATTGATTGGATGAATTCACTCATTTCTTTTTTTCTCAATTACCAGGGCTGTGTATGTATAGTTATGTACAAACATGGTGCACAAGGGGACCATCAAGTTTCAGGAATGCTAAGCAAAAGGCAGCTTCTTAGAAAACCCCTTCTCTTGACTTCTTCTACCACAGCCTAACCTAGTACACTTCAGAGTTTTTTCCTCTTTTACCTAGTAGAAATAATGGTGGTGGTGACAGCAGCAGTTTCTCCTTACCAGTTGACCTATATAGTAAAAGTGTCAATTAAAAGGACCACAGCCATGTGACCTTTAGGTTAACTTGCCTTAAATGACCATGCAACTGAAACAATCAGACTTTGCCTATAAAACTGCATGGGCAATAGGAAGTGGAGTAGGAACCTTCAGCCTCTTGGTTCTTGTGCGAACTGTGTGCCGCTTGTATTTTCATCTATTCATTAAAGTGGCCCATGACTGCTGCAACTTTGCGTAACACTCGACTCCTTGCAGATGCCAAGTTTGGGGTTCTTCTGGACCATTGGCTTGAGTTCTTCCCTTGGTGGCAGAGCTCCGGTGGTACCACTGGTACTATGGATATGATACCCTGCTTTGACCATAGAATACACTGAAGGGGTGATGATATTTCAGGCTGGAAATGGGCTCTTCTGACTATACCAGAAAAGTTTCAGAGTTGGAGTCTTTTGCATACACTGCATGTACAGGCAGTCCTCATTTTGCAACTGTAATTGGTTCCGGCAAAATGGTCGCCAAGCAACACAGTCAGTAAGCAAACCATGTGACACAGAGAGAGAGAGAAAGAATGAGACTACAACGGTCTCTGGTTGTTGGCTTTTCATTTAGATAAAGTTCTCTTATGCAGCAGTGCCAGTGTTACTCTCACTCCAGTATTCATTGTTGTCAGGCACAGAAATTTGGGCATTGGTGCGCACATTGGTCAGAAAACGATATTTTTACTGCCATTTATTACTATTGTATTTGCGAATGGTCACTTAATGAGGCAGTTGCTAAATGGGGACTACCTGTATTTCAGTCTCCAACTTCAAAAAACTGTTGGGAAAAAAGAAATTATATCTAAACCCCATTTCTCTTTTTTCTTTTATTCCTTCCTTCCTTCCTCTCTCTCTGTTTATTAAAACTATTTTAAAAAGCCTTTGTTTTTCTTCATTCCATAATCCAGTATAGCAAGAATATACTAACCAAAAATATCATTTTTGGTATCTGTCACATGCCAGTTGTATTGCATTCAATTTCATTTTGCTGCTGATGGTGTATGCCAAAATAAATGCCAACATGTATTAACATGTTGCATTTTTCTTATTATTATTTATTATTTAAATTTAATTTAACTGCTAGGTTTGCATATGAAAAAATAATTCTTCAAACAAAGTGTGTTATATTTTTAATAACTAAAATTAATAAATGAATGCAAAAATGAAATAAATATTTGGAAATAAAAAAACTTGCTGTTAAAGAAAAACTATTTCCATCATTAACAAGATGTGAAAAATCCATTAGGAGGGGAAGAAGAATCATCTAGACAGTGTTGAAGTTTCTAGTCTAGAAATAATTAGAAACTAAGATCAATTACATGGATATAGATACATGTCCTAATAATCCTTTCTTAATTAACTTCCTTCACAGCAAGAAGAGCATGTTCCATATACAGCCTGTGGAAAGTGTATAAGGATGACCTTCTGTACAAGCGCTGTCTTATTCTGGGTAAAATGATTTGGTCCACTACTATTTAGAAAGTATTAGCTTCTGCTCTGACAGCTCCTTGAAAGAGCAAAATGATGCAGTCCCTATTTAAATGAAAATTATTGCAGTAGTATAACTGGTTCTTCTGGTAGATTTGTTCTTTGGAACACAACCCTCGATGTACAAGGCCAATGTGAGAGAGAATGCTTCTCCTCTAGTCTTTTCAAACTTTCCATGAATGAAACAGGGATGGTTTCCTATCCATTTCTACATCCGTCACAAGATTTACATCTCCCCCTAAAATTAGATAATCAAATATTAATCCATATATTCTTGCCATGCATCTATGAATTAGTTCAGGATCAAGAACCTTCCAAATTTATTATAAGCAAGAACTGTAAAAAGAGAAAGGCTTGGGTTATGTAAACATTTGCACAGTTTCTCTCCCCCCCCCCGAGCAGTCTGATATCTTTCTTCTTTAAACTCTGTTTTTTTTTCTTTTTAAAAATCTTATTCTTGTTTCTTTCTGCAATCCTGCCTTTTTTTTTTTTTTTGGACTGCTAGCTCACTCGTGATGACTACATTTCTGGATTTTTGCCTTCTTTCTTCAGCTTGATTCCTCAAGTTTAGACCCCCTTTTTCCACCTCTTGATACAGATTTTACACCAGACTTTTCAGCTTAATGTCTTGCATTACATGGGTCATTATATATGCTGTATTATAAAAGTATGTTTTAAAAGTTTTTATGCAGTTAAAACATAAAGTACTGTATATACACAACAAAGCACATGTTATTTCTCTAAAGGTCACGTTCCAGGGACCTGGAATTAGATATAATTCTCTGCTTTTAGTGGAAAATACTCAGTTTTCATCACAATACAAAAAGGAATGCTAATTCCAACTGTGTCATGTAGGTGATTCTTTAGAAACACAATACAGCAATCTTTGCATTTGCTGATTTAGAAGTGTTTGTGTGTGTGTGTGAATGAACAGATGTTATTAAATGAACATTTTCTTTTGCAAAATAGCTATTTGCTCTCCCAATTTGTTCTCTAGAAAATTCTTTTTGTACTTAGAAGTCTTTGTTTTAAATTTTAGTTCGTTGTTGTTGTTGTTGTTCAGTCGTTAACAACCTCTGCCGTCCCCTTCTCCTTTTGCCTTCAATCTTTCCCAGCATCAGGGTCTTTTCC